CACACACAGGATGTATTGGGAGGCTCTATTATTCTGTGGTTGATATCGAGTAGGTTTTACTTCTGGGATTGAAAATCCTTAACAACAAATAATCAATTTCTTCAGAATAAGCATATCCCTACACCTTCTACCTCATTATGATTTCTTATTTATTGCATATCTCCAGTCATTGTTTACATGTCTGCATTGTTTACATTCAAACTATTTACCTGTTTACTTGTACATTGTCTACTGTTTGTTTGTATGTTGTCTTGATGCACTGTCTGCACTTTGTGTTTTTACACTTGTTTTAACAATCGAGAGACTTTCTGCCAGTAAGAATTCCATTGAACCAGGACAGAAGCAAACAGAATTTGCTTGTATCATGATACCCTGCCATTTTGTGGGAAACTGATATCCTTGATTTTTTTTCGTGAAGGTGCTGTATAAGATCCTCAGATAAATGAGGTAACAGCAACACAATGACCTTCCTGGACCCAATAGCTGCCTATGGTTTGGCATCCTTGATTATGCTCTTACCTGGTCGAGCCTCAGATCAGTGGCGTGTGTGACTCGGAACCAGTTCTCAGATCTCCTTGTGCTCCTGATGAGACTCCAGACCTCAGCCCTGCTTTCCTATTCAGGCCCACAACCCTCCTTCGTCTTCTGTCTTTTAGTCACTGGGGACAAAATCATCCAACGAACACAGACGGCTCACAACATTAAGATGAGATCACTTTATTGACCATATAAAATTTCGTGCATTAGGAATTTGTCTTTTCGCATACCTCACCTTGCTCTCCATGAGACACACAGACAGGGAGAGAAGCCTGGGGTCAGAGCACAGGGTCAGCCATTTATACAGCATCCCTGGAGCAGCTGGGGCTAAGGGCCTTGCTCAGGGGCTCCAACAGAGTAGGATTCCTCTGCCAGCCACAGGATTTGAACTGACAACCTACCAGCCACAGGCACAGATCCTTAGCCACAGTACCACCACTCCATCCCTGTTCGCTTTGCTCCTGAAAGATTCCGGGACAGAGGAATCTCCCTGAGCTCCTTCAGATGGCTCTGGGGTTTCGTGACAAGTAAAGAGAGTGCTTTTTTTTTTGGTTCTCTGGCCGAGGGGAGGGGCAGGAGAGGGGGGGGGGAGGATGGAAGCCTAATTGACTCTTCCCTGCTATCCGACAGGGAATAACGGGCCTCAGTATGGAAGATTAAACAGCCCATTAGTTCCAGGGAAATGAAGACCCAGCTGTGAAGCCTGGCAGAATGAGGTCTGCGTTACTCTTATCACTTGGCTTGTGCCTTTCCGTTTTGCCAAACCTTCTCTTTCCCTGTCGGAATTTTATTAAAAATGAAGCCATCCAGTTCAGCTACACAAGAAGGACTGCAGTCACCCAGTGCAACTGGTTTTATTTCTACAAGCCCCGTTTAAGAGTGAGCAGGAGTGTCATACAAAGGATTGAGCAAAGGAAGAAACAAGTTCAGGCAACAGTTTACAAGGGTCAGCCATAAAAAAAACATCAAGACTCAAGTCTTCCTGTTCCCTGGGCAGTAAACCTCAGAGGAGATGAAAATCCCTTTCTGCAGAGGTCTGATTTATGGGTGACACCGGTACGTTTTTCACCAGACTGTCAGAACACTATTCTAAAAGGGCTCTGCTGCTCTGCTTGCCCAGCAAACAGAACCTTTTATGGGTCTGTGTGAAGAGGTGCATCAGAGATATACTGGCTGGGTTATGTGGGTCAAATACCAGTCAGACAGCACTGAGCTGGGATTTTCTGTGTTTGAGGCAGATGACCAGCTACTGGGAATAATAAGAATAATAATTCCTTACACTTATATAGCGCTATTCTGGACACTCCACTCAAAGCGCTTTACAGGTAATGGGGATCCCCTCCACCACCACCAGTGTGCAGCCCCACCTGGATGATGCTCCAGTACTCTCACCACACACCAGCTCTTAGTGGGGAGGAGAGCAGAGTGATGAAGCCAGTTCAGAGATGGGGATTATTAGGAGGCCATGATGGGTAAAGACCAGGGGGAAATTTGGCCAGGACACCAGGGTAACACCCTTAGTCTTTTTGAGAAACACCCTGGGATTTTTAATGAGCACAGAGAGTCAGGACCTCAGTCTTTATCTCTCATCTAAAGGATGGCGCCTTTTTACAGTATAGTGCCCCCATCACTATACTGGGGCATTACAACCTACACAGACTGCAGGGTGAGCACCCCCTACTGGCCCCACTAACACCTCTTCCAGCAGCAACCTGAGCTTTCCCAGGAGGTCTCCCATCCAGGTACTGGCCAAACACATACCTGCTGATGAGCTTCAGTGGCACAGCCAGTTCTGAATTGCAGGAGATATGCCTGCTGGCAAGAAGTATTCTAGCTCTCCTTGCAAGTACAAGAAGAAAATTGAAGATCATTAACAATTCAGACCCTATGAGATGAGAAAAAGAGTTTATCCGGGTTATATAGCTCACTAGCTGCAACAAGGATTCAATGAACTTTGTGAACGTCTGTCAAGAAGCCACTGGGGTTGGCCAGGTTTGGATTAGACAGAAGGAGTTCAACTTGCAGTATTCCTCAGCATGAACAAGGACAAGTTCGATAAGTTAAATATAGTTTATTATGCCTAATACATCGAGGCAGTAAATATATAAAAACATTTTATTCTTTTCGGAATGTCTCAACAGTAAAGAAACTGGAGGAATCAGCTCTGAAATAACTGTCCCTCTCTCCAAGCAAGAGTGAGAGCTTTCCCTTTTCAATCTACTGCAGTCCTCCTACAGAAAAAAAAACAGAGGGTATAACATCCCTCCAGTGATTGCATTCTTGTTCTTCCTCTCAAACACTCGAAAGAATTCGGAAAGAATCCAAACTGTTTAAGAGGGCAGGTTTTCCGACCCCAGAAAAAAAAACCCACCCACCATCATTATTTTAACCTCTAAAAATTGTCATATATATATACACATATATATATAGTATTAACCTCAATAAATAAAACTGGAAATACATTGAAAACATATTTTTAGCCCAGCTAAAATAAAGCATTTCACACGATATCTATTGGTCTATTGATAGAACTATCGTACTTATTAGGTATAAAGTCGGTCGATCATCTTGCAGTGGGGAAGTCTCGTGATCTGAATGCAGTGAATGGAAAGTGTCTTTGTTATCACCTGCAGTCTGCTTAAGGTGAAGATGACTGGGGTTGTGTAGCACAGTGCCCTAGAGAATATATAGAAGTTCAAGTGGGTAGCTGCATCAGCATGCGTAGTCTGCAAAGGACCAAGATCAGGTTTATTCCATGCTGTAACAAGACGAAAATGAAACAGCGTTTCGGCTGTAGAACCTTCTTCGGGTGTGAATAAGGCTCCTGAAGAAGGCACCTCACACCTGAAGAAGGCTCCGCAGCCAAAATGTGTTTCTTTTCAGCAAGGAATAAACCTTTACTTGTTCCTTGAGAATATATATACAATATGTATTCCATGGGGGTCAAGTGGGGAACTACGTCGCCACGCACTGTCCACGAAGGACCCAGCAGAGGTTCGTTTGCGCAAGGTGTCGGCGGCTGAGCCTTCTTCGGGGGTGTGGGAGGCGTTTTGACTCGGGAGTCCAGTGCATTT